TATATATATATATATATATATATATATGGAGCGTGTAACAAAAGTAATTCCCTCTGGGATTATTAAAGTATGTCTGATTCTGAAAATATGTTCGCCCCAGAACTCAAACCTGAAAGACTTTTGTCCACTTTTATTTACACAGCATAGATGTTTAAATATATCTGTGTATTTGTTAGCAAAGGCTGCAGGAAATTACAGTTTGTCTAGAAAATATGGATGTTGTGCTCGATCCTGTTGGAACAGTGCAGGTTGACCCTGAGGTTCTGGTGCCTTTCGGCCACCCCTCATTGGTTATTGACTGGCCACCCCAGTTAGGATTTTCTGGCTACGCCTCTGTAGTGGAATCCAGCTACACTGGTGCAATAAAACAAGCTGTTTTTGTTTTCTTAAAGTAAGTGAATTGAGGTGCAAATGAATCAGGCTGTTAGTGTTGAGTCCCCCATGGGTGGGAGGCCAGTCAGAGCCCTCACACACCTTCACTTCACCCAGCAGGGTTTGGTTTTCCCTCTGAGCCCTGCAGCAGCTGCAGCAGCAGCAGCCCTGTCCACTTCCTGGAGTGGAGGAGCTCAGGCTGAGGGAGTGGAAGTAGAGAGGAAACTCTGATGTTATGAGCTGTACATGACAGCACCTCTGACGTCTTTCTCAGAAAAGCTGCTTTCAACATCTAAAATACTCATTCTGTGCAGAAATGTGTATTTCTAGCCCAAAAGCAGCAGCAGAAACTCTTTATATCTATAAAATCTATTTATTTTAGCCTCTGGCATCACATTAAAGTAAAACAACGTAATTGTTTTTGTTTTTGTTGTGTTTTTTTAACTGACAGTAAACATCACCATTGCTTTCATTGGTCTACAGCTTTAAATTTAAAAGTTGATAAGAGGAAACAACAAACGCAGGCTACTCACTTGTATCGGAGCTGAATGATATCTTCTTCACAGCTTTTCTACTTCCTCTGAACACAGAATCCTTCTCTTTTTCATTCCCTGCTCTGAATATCTCCGTTTCTTGCTCCCCTCTGCATATTTTTATCCTTCCACTGAGGGAAATCTTTCAAAATGCTACGCTTCGACGGTGCCAACTGTCCCACGGCGGAGAAAGTGCTTCGTTGTTATGCTGACTTGGAAGCGGTTTACGTGTTTGGACACATCGTTGGATTTGGAGACAAGGCGACCCGGAACGCTGATCTCAGATCTGCCTTGTGTCCGGCGGTGTTTTCGGACTCCGCCCATAAAGCGCGTTCATTGGCTGAGAGGTATTAAAGGCGGGCTTACTGAAAAAGCGTTGCTCTTTGATTGGCTGGTTTCACTATCAATTACCGAGGCTCAAAGAAAACAAAGCGTTTGCTACATTTGTCTTAATGAGATTATGAAGAGTATTTATTAATTAAAATAAATAAAACAAAAATGGTATTTCCTTTCTACAGCCATATTTATTTGCTTGTTTTTTTTTACATGTTTACATCATTATTTAACCCGTTAGAATATTTGCTCGTTATAAGTAACTAATTTAATTTGATATATATAATTTTACTTTTACTGCCACAAAGACCACTAATTATTATAATGATGTATTAACCCACTGACTTTAATTTACCTCAGTCTGTGGAGCTTTGTTGATTGAATTATACAATGGATAAATATCACACTCTAGAGGTTAAATGAGGAGAAAGAACTACAGGTGGACATAAATGGTAGTGGCCTAAAGTGATGAAGTACTGATCCAAATTTAAAGAACCAATTATACTTCAAGAATTAAATACTGATCATTTTTGATACCATCAGATTACAATTGTATATTTTTTACACATATTGAAACTAGTGTAGTTGATGGTAGGTTTAAGGAAATTGGAAAAAATGCATTTTCTAAAAGCTGCTGTTGCAAAGATTGGAATTGTTATGACAATCGATTCAGAATTTTCTTTTTTGTTCAACACAGCATAAGCCGCTTCATTTTGAAATATCAATACATATG